ACACACACACACACACACACACACACACACACACACACACACACACCCCAAAACTGTTCTGTGTTTCCTAAAATGTGAGCCTACATTCTCATCATTTTTTTTTTCCACTTGTATAAGATATATAAACTTAGAGCCAGGCACAGTGGGTCATGCCTGGAATTCTAATTATCCAGAGGCAGTGATCAGGAGGATAAGTTCAGCCAGGACAAAGATTTAAGAGCCCCCTCCCAAACAAGCAAAGAGGGTATGACAGTTCATATTTGTAATCTCAGCTACAAATGAGGTAGAGGTAGGGAGATTTCTGTCCAATGTCTACCCCAAGGAAAAAACATCTGAAAAGTAAATGTGACCAAGTGGTATAGTAGCATGTCTAGGATGAGGTCTCAAGTTCAAAAGTGAATATTACCAATATATACAGGCTTAAATATAACTTTATTGTGTTTTATTCATGAAGGTTTCAAAATTATGCTAGCCAGGTACAGATGGCTCATGCCTGTAATCCTAGCCACTCAAGAGGCGGAGGATAATAGTTCAAAGCCAGCATAGGCAAGAAAGATCCTAGGACTCTTACCTCCAGCAAACTACCAAAAATCAGGAAGTAGAGCTGTGGCTCAAGTGGAACAGAGCTAGCCTTGAGAAATAAAGCTCAGGGACAGCTCTTGGTCTTTGAGTTCAAGCCCAGGACCAGCACAAAATAAAATGCTATAAAACCTTTCAGAAACCTGATCATAACTCTAAAATGTGAAATTTTACCCTGCCTATTTGAAATCAATATTTTCCTCCTATGAATACACAATTTATCACTGAAAACCAGGAATCTTAATTGGCATTCTTCTGCAATAATTATATTAACACTTTGCCTTTATATGACAGATTTTTTTCAATTGTGTCCCCGACACTATGGTCCTGAATGGTGAGACCTATTATTTCCCTCAGCATCCTGAGTATTTCCCACAATATCCAGGACACAATGCAAACATCATTCAGATTCTTATGTGGATGAATTACAAAGAGACAACACTGTGAGACCCAAACTCAGCCCGAATAAATGAAGTGTAGCTGCAAAAGAAGAGCTGATGATAATCAACTCAAATAATAATAGAAATAGAAAATAGGGGGGGGGGGCTGGTGGCTCACGCCTGTAATCCTAGCTACTCAGGAGGCTGAGATCTGAGGATCACAGTTCAAAGCCAGCCCCGGCAGGAAAGTCTGCGAGACTCTTATCTCCAATAAACCACTAAAAAACCTGAGTGGCACTGTGGCTCAAGCAGTAGAGTGCTCACCTTGAGTTGAAGAGAGCAGGAACAGCACCCAAGCCCAGAGTTCAAGCCCCATGACCAACCACAAAAAAGCAAAAAGAAAAAGAAAGAAAAGAAAAGAAAATAGGGTTTGTTTACACTAAACTAAACATCATGACCACTCAGATACCTAGGGCACAGGAAGTAAGTGATGTGGTGATGGTGGTGGGGGTCTGGGCCCACTCCCCTTCTACATGGGGAATCTGGATGCCACCGAGGAGTCCTGCTGGGGGTGGAGGGACCTGGGTTTTGGCTGCAGACTCCTGGTGAGGTGAAGAGGCAGAAGAATAGCAAAAGATGAACTCTACTTTATGGCCCAGCTCTAGGAATCACAAAACACTCCTAAATTAATTAGGATTAAGTAGAATTAATAAGAGAACTTAGAGAAGCCTTTCTTACCTGCAATATCTTCCCTCTGCATTCTATAGTCCTCACTTCCAATGAATTGGCAGCTTGTCTTGGTTACCAAACCATGGTCCTGCCCTGCTGTACTTGACAAGCTGACAGTAACAATTGGTGTGAATGAATGCTCAGGTCTTCTTCACAACTCTCAGCACCACAGGATCTATGAAGGACTAACCCAAATCGACCTACTACACGTAAAGGAAGGCATTGCTAAGCCAGAAGACCTCCCGGTATATCATGCTTCAGACTTAGATCAGAGAACTCAGAGAACTCAGTCACATGTCTAGAAGTATAAATGAGTATGACAAGTCGTGACAAGTGGAGAATGTGTGCCCTGTCTGGGGCAGCCCTTCCTCCACTTCAACTATAGTTGCTGTGTAGAAATGTGGACCTCATTTTGTCTAGATCTCCTAAGTTTCTCAAGAGAGGACATAAATACATATTTTATTGCAAAAGGTACCTACTTTAGACATAGCTATTTCGTTGTCAGTTTGTGGCCCCTGATCTGAATGGACCATACTGATAATACCTGAGAGAGCCCAAGAGAAGCCTTATTTCAGCCAGAAAGAAGGAGGCAGAGTAAAAGTGAGAGAATAGGGAAGAGTCACAACGAAAGGAAAATGCTGCAAATTTTACAAACCTCAAAAACAGGCCGTGAGAGTACCGAAACGTTTGTCTTTTCACCTGAGAGTCCAGAATGGGGGGAAAGGGGGCAGAGAAGAAGCACTTCCTGGGCACTGCCTAAAAGCACAGGGTGGCAGACGCATTCACCTGTGTTGCTTTATTGAGACACTCAGTTCCAGGAAAATCCTTTAGAGACAGAAAAGAAACAGATAAAGTAGCCCTAGCTACTCAGGAGGCTGAGATCTGAGGATTGTGGCTCAAAATCAGTCCAGGCAGGAACTTTCATGAGATTCTTACCTTCAATTAACCACCAAAAAGCTGGAAGTGAAGGTGTGACTCAAGTAGTAGCGCTTTAGCTTTGAGTAAAAAAGATCAGGGACAATGCCCAGGCCTTGAGATCAAGGCACAGAACTGTCACAATAACTAAATAGAGGATTTGTCTTGGTCACCAATCCACAGTTCCACCCAGTTGTAATTGACAAACTGACACTGATAGTGATTAGAGTGAATGAATGCTCACCTCTTCTTCCACTCCCAGGCCCACAGTATCTATTAAAGACTAACTCAACTCTACTACATATGAAATTGAGGTATGGAATGCTAAGCCAGCAGACAGCCCATCATATGCATCCGACTCCAATTAATTACCAAAACCCACAAGTGGATCTGTGATTCAGGTGGTAGATCACTAGCCTTGAGTGGAAGCTGTCCTTTAGGACAGGCTCTGAGTTCAAGCTCCAGTACCAACACACACACACACACACACACACACACAAGAGACAACAAAAGGGGTTGGAGGTGTGGCTCAAAATGGTAGAATGCTAGTAAGCAAAAGCTTGAGTTTAAACCCAGTATCACCAAATAATCATCATCATAAAAAATAATTATTTGTATTTGTTAGAGGTTTGCAAAGAAACAGGTAGTGGGTTTTTGTTTTGTTTTTTGTTTGTTTTTTGCCTCATAAATGAAGTCTATCCTACTAGGCCACTTGTGTTCTAAGCATTCTGAATCCCAATTAATGTCTTCAGAATATCCATACTTAGACACCATTTTGTTCACAAATGAAACTCTAGCCTCAATACTTCAAGTTATATTTCAGAAGAAAAATACTGTTCAAAAGCCCAGATAAGGCACACTCCTTTGTTGATGCTAAATATAGTCACTTCTACATGACATACATTTTGACAAGGATCAGCTTTGTATGTCAAATTTTCAAAAATAGCACAGATTCCATTTTAAGGTGAGCAAGAAGAATTGTCATTTACTGCATTTCAATTGAGAATGGATTTAAAAGTGCAGATCTATTAAAATTGGATTATACTAATAATGGTAATGAGAAAAGTTTGTTGTGGTTTTTTGCTTAGGGCACTTTCGAGTTGTTGCAGGTAAAATACAGAATCTCACGCATTGTTCTTTAAATCATGCCTCAGACACGTTTGCCAAATATAAAATGTCTTCAGTTAGGTATTGAATAGCTGTGTGGAAGGAGAACTCTTTACCAGCTACACTGGATAACCAAAGTTCACTTATACTAAATATAACTTCCCTAAAAGCTCTTTCCTTGTTTTGATTAAGTTCCTTTTCTAACAGTACCCCCAGACTTAAAAGCCTTTCAGAGATGTGGTATTTTAAGTTTTCTTATGGCCGCAATTTAACCCATAAAAGTATAACATTGGGAAACTTACGTGGCCCACTCAATAATGTGTGACTAAGACTGTTATAAATATATCAGCTTATTAATCACACTGCCCAAGACATAGTTATGTGGTGACATGCCCCTGTTTGATGAACTCATTAACAAACTTTGGCTGATGAATGATATTCCTGAGGCTTTAGAGAGAAGAACTGATTTCTTATCACGGTGTCCCTTCTCTACCTGCCCTTTTCTCCCCCAAGGACAGACATTTTGTTAGGACGTATTCTTTATGCTATTTTTACCTGCTTATCTCTCTCTCTCCCTCTCTCCCAACTGTTCACAGTGGGGCCTTTTCGTACGGATCACATGAATATCTCAAAGCCATTGCTATAAGCAACCCACTTTCCAACTTGGTTATTTTTCTTACAAATCCCAGTGATTGGGGTTTTAGGGAGACTGGGTTTCCAAAATGCACCCAGCCAGGAGGCGGGCGCCTTCTTGGCCCCCTCCAGCCCCCAGCTCCCCGCGGCCTCGGGCGCTGGCCGCCGGACGGTCGATCCCCATCCCCTACAACGTTCGCAGAGAATTAGTTTGGAGACCTGGCAGCCGCCCGGCTGGTAAATCCGAATCCTCCTCCCGGGGCCTCCCGGGGGACCGATCCGGAATCATGTCTTCGACGTAGTGGAGCCCGGGATGGCGGTGGGGACATCTTCAGAGGGACCCTGCTGGCTTTCACCAGCTCAGACCCCCCAAGGGGACAGCACCCCTCCCCCCAACTCCTGCAGGAGTAGAGAAAGCACCCCGCGCCCAGCCGACCCGGCGCCGTGGAGCAGACGCCAGGGAGCGGGAAAGCAATCAAGCCGCAGCCGCCGGAGACCCCCGTGGGGCCGACCCGGGTGCGCATCCGTGGAGGTCTGCCCCGCGCCCCGCCGCCCTCCGTCACGCAGCGCTCCGGACCGGGAGCCCCGCAGTCCTCCCCCTCCGACCCCCGTGGCGCTCCCCCCAAAGCCCGATCGCACCCGCCCAGCCCGTCTTACCCGCCGGGAGCCGGTAAGGCGTCTTGCGCCTGGCCGTGGGGAGGGGTCCCTGCGCTCTAGCACCGCCGCCTGGGGCCCCCGAGCCCCGTGGCTGCCTCCTGCCGCCGCCTCCAGCAGCAAGTTTCCATAAAAGTCCTGGTGCGCAGCCGGGCCCCGCATTCCACACGGGCCCGGCGGCGCGGCGGCTGCAGCTGTTCCACACCCCGGGCCAGCCCCCGCCCCCCTCCGCCCGGCCACCCGGGGAGGCCGGTCAGGGGGCGCCGGCCAACTTTCCACCGCCCCGCGCCCGGGGGGCCGGAGCGGACACCCCCTAACCTGGGGCCTGCGTCCGCCTCCGCAGGCCGGCGTGGGGAGGGAGGCCGCGCACGCTGGAGAGGAGGATGCCGCGGTGGTCCTCGGTGCCGGGTGGCCCCCGCCGCCCCCCGCGGCCGTCCCGCCCGCCCCGCGCTGGCCCAGAGACCCACGCCCCGCAAAGTCTCTCCCTGTCCCCTAGCCAGAGAGCAAGTCAAGTGGAGGCCCCTACAGTAGCTTCGCCTCTCAGGGGCATGGGCAGCAAGTGCCTCTTCTCAGCCCCGGAGAGGAACTCCAAAGAGGGTGGTTAATAGGGAAAAGGTGGAAGGTGGAGGAATAAAATGCATATGCCTTTTCACTTTGCGTAATTGAAGCCTCTCTGGTGTTGCTCAACTACATAAAAGCCCTTACAGCCACAAATCCTTCCTCCGTTTCTTCTTCTTCTTCTCTTCTTCTTCTTCTTCTTCTTCTTCTTCTTCTTCTTCTTCTTCTTCTTCTTCTTCTTCTTCTTCTTCTTCTTCTTCTTCTTCTTCTTCTTCTTCTTCTTCTTCTTCCTCTTCCTCTTCCTCTTCCTCTTCCTCTTCCTCTTCCTCGTCTTCGTCTTCGTCTTCGTCTTCTTCGTCTTCGTCTTCCTCTTCTTCCTCTTCTTCTTCCTCCTCCTCCTCCTCCTCCTCTCCTCCTCTTCCCTTCTTCCTTCTTCTTCCTCTTCTTCCTCTTCCTCTTCTTGTTCTTTCTTCTTCTTCTTCTTCTTCTTCTTCTTCTTCTTCTTCTTCTTCTTCTTCTTCTTCTTCTTCTTCTTCTTCTTCTTCTTCTTCTTCTTCCTTCTTCTTCTTCTTCCTTCTTCCCCTCCTCCTCCTCCTCTTCCTCCTCCCCCTCTTCCTCCTCCCCCTCCTTCTCCACCATCCTCCTCCTCCTCCTTAATTTTGGTGGTACTAGGATTTGAACCCAGGGCCTTGAACTATGCTAGGTAGATGCTCTACCTCTTGAGTCAGTCCACCAGCCCCCCTGTTTTATTGGTGATTTTTGAATTTGAGTCTTGTTTTATTCCCTGCTTGCCTGAACTGTGATCCCATTTGTGCTTCCCTTTGACGGGGAAGCATGTCACTATGTTCAATCATTGGTTTCAGATGGAGTTTCAGGAAGTTTTGTGACCAGACTGGCCTTAAACCAAATTCCCTGATCTCTGCCTTATAAGTAGCTAGGATTACAAGCTTAAGGTATTATGCCCTACTACTCAGACCTTCCTTAATGTAGACCAGCAGCTTGCTAATTAAACCCATCAAACACTCCCATATTGATAGATGAAATGCATGGCCATAGGAGGTATGCCTACCAGCAAGAGAGCCTCAATTTTTCATGGCCCTTAAAGTAAAAAAAAAAAAAAAAAAATCCCAATCGCATGCAGACATAAAAAACATGAACAAGAATAACGGCTTCCAGCCTCAGGCACTGGACAGACAAGGTGCTACTGCAGGACTGTTGAAAGGCCTTGTGCTCTTTCCTGTCTCTATTTTTCAGACAGCATCTCTACACCATTTACTCAGGATGGAAATTCTTTCAGTAAGCAAGAAGGGCAAGCCATTCATTTCTACACTGTGGAACTTCTATGTTTAATTTATTCAAATATTTAATGTAGCTTAAATGCACTTTTAAAAAGTGATTTAAATGTAGTTTAACACAGATAGTGATAGGTGGTCTAGTTTGCCCCTGCCACCCTTCAATAAATACCCTCACCTTGGCCTTCTGTTATTCACGGAAATTTCCATGAGTATTGTCACTGCAGGTGCAGGCCATTCTCTCTATACAGTTTTCTCTTTTTCCCCCTCTGCATCTCCAGTGAAACATTGCTTCTTGCCTCTAGGAAGCTTCCTTGTAGTGGTATATCAACTGTAAGTGTGTAAGTGCTGTCACACACACACACACACACACACACACACACACACACACACGATGCTGCGCAGAGTAGTGACATGGTATATATTTGAAACATGTTCATTCTGGCTGATGTGCTACAAATACTCTACATGGGTGAGGGGAAAAGCAAGAGACCAGTTCAGAGGGTGCTACAAGAATTAGAATGGGAGACTCAGAGAGTGATGGAACAGAAGACACTACATGAAAGGAATTATACTCATTACCTGACTCATGTAATTGTAATTCCTCTGTATATTACCTTTATCATAACAATAAATTTAACTAACAAAAGAATTAGAATGACAAGTAATGGAGTCTGGACCAAGGTGAGAGCCATGGAATTAGTGAGCAAGGCTTTTTTCAGGTAGCACAAGTAGGGCTTTAGTAACAGACTATAGTGTGATCAGAAGAGATTTATGGCCTTTGCACTGAAGAATGGAATTGCCTTTTTTTATTTTCAGTCAGTCTTGGGGCTTGAACTCCCGGGCATGGGCGCTGTCCCTGAGCTCTTTTGCTCCAGTCTGTGCTCTGCCACTTTGAGCCATAGCGCCACTTCTCATGGACTTTTCTGCCTAGGCTGGCTTTGAATTGTGATCCTCAGATCTCAGCCTCCTGAGTAGCTAGGATTCCAGATGTGAGCTACCAGCACACACCAGAGCTGTCATTTTCATAGATAGGAAAAACAATGCCATGAGGACTGTTAACAGAGGTGGTTGGAAGCTTTTTTTTCTTTTTGGTGGTAGTAGGGGGCTGTATTCACAGACTTGTGTTTGCTGGGCAGGTGCTCTGCCACTGTAGCCACTTGGTTATTTTTGAGATAGGGTCTTGCTTTATGCCCAGATAGGCTAGCCTGGGCTAGTCCTACTCTTTGTGCTTCCCTGTATCACTGGAACTGTACCCAACCACTGTTCATTCTCAATAGCTTGGGATGATAGGTGTGTGTCACAGTACTCACTCATGATCCAAAAAGAGGCTCAATTTAAGCCAGTGGCTCACACCTGTAATCCTAGCTACTCAGGAGGCTGAGATCGGAGGATCATGATTCAAAGCCAACCCAGGCAAAAAGTCTGTGAGACTCTTATCTCCAATTAACCACCAGAAAACTGGAAGTGGCGCTGTGGCTCATATGGGAGAGTGCTTGCTGTCAGCTGCACAGCTCAAGGGCAGTGCCAAGGCCCAGAGTTCAACCCCCATGACTGACCAAAAAAAAAAAAAAAAAAAAAGTCAATTAATTTTTTTGCCTAGGCTATCCTCAAATCATGATCTCCTGATCTCCACTTTCTAAGTAGGTAGGATCCAGATGTTTGGTTACTGTGGTAGAATCAAATTTTAACATGCTAAGTTTAAATAGATGAGTAGAAATCCAGGGGATGGGGATGTAGTGGAATGATACAGAACTTGGCTACCAGGTGTGACTGTGGTTCAATTCTTAGCACCATGACCATGCCCCCTCCTCCTAAAAAAGCAGCAAGGGATCTAAAATCCCAGAAGATGATCGAGAAGGTATAGTTTACAAAACAAACCTTGGAGTGCTGGGTGAATCCATATTCCAGTGGAATATCCTGATGACATATCATGAGATTAGCTAAATAATGTATACTTCAGCCAGGTGCAGGTGTCTCACCCCTATAATCCTAGCTACTCAGGAGGCTGAGATCTGAGGACCACAGTTCAAAGCCAGCCCGGGCAGGAAAGTCCATGAGACTCATCTCCAATTAACCACCAGAAAACTGGAAGTGGCACCGTGGCTCAAGTGGTAGAGTGCTTACCCTAAGCTGAAGAGTTCAGGGGCAGTGCCCAGACCCTAGAGTTCAAGCCCCAGGACTGACCAAAAAACAAAACAACAATAAATACTTCTTCATCTGAAGTAGAATGTCGACATTAGCTGTGCATAATTTTTTTTTGGGGGGTCCAGTTGTGGGGTTTGAACTCTGGGCCTGGGTGCTGTCCCTCAGCTCTTCAGCTCAAGGCTAGTGCTCTACCACTTGAGCCACAGCGCCACCTCCAGCTTTTTTCTTTTTGCTTATGTGGTACTGAGGAATCGAACCCAGGGCCTCATGCATTGCAAGGCAAGCGCTCTACCACTGAGCCACCTTCCCAGCCCCCAGTATACATAATTTATTATGATGCCCTGCTATGGTTTCCAGCTAGTATAAACCACTGAGTGGCATGCACAATTCTGCTTCTCGCACTTCATGTAGTCCTGGCCTAGGCTTGGTATGGCTGTCTGACCAAGAGAATATGGCAGAACTAGTGTCAGTTCAAGTTTTGGTGATAAGATCCTGCCTTCCCCAGGCATTGGTGCTCATGCCTGTAATCCTAGCTACTCCAGGAAACTAAGATCTAAGAATTGTTGTTAGAAGCCAGCCTAGATAGGAAAAGCCCATGAGACCCTTATCTCCAGTTAGCCACTAAAAGGTCAGAAGTGAAGCTGTGGATCAAATGGTAGAGGGTTAGCCTTGAGCTAAAAAGCTCAGGGACATCACCAGTCCCCATTTTAATCCCTAGGACCAACACAAAAACAAATAGATCAATCTAGCCTTGTACCATGCTTTCTCAAGCTGGTCATTACATCTTAAAGACACAGAAACCTGGCTGAAAATCCAGTTAGTAAGGAGCTAAGGTCTTGTGCCAATATCCAGCAATGAACTGAGGCCTTCAGACAACAGCACATGAGTGAGCACATCTTGGAAGCAACGCTTCCAGCCTACTGATCTATTTTGTATTGATATAACAGAATACCTGATGCTGGGAAATCCATTTAAAAAGAGCAAAACCCCAGTACTGCCAGAAGAAAAAAAATCACCTTATAACCTAACCACAATAAATTCTCTTTCCAGGCATATTGGCTTGTAATCATAGCTGCTCACGAGACACGGAGTGGCAAGATCACAGTCAAGGCTCAGTTAATAAGCCAGGCATAATGGTATGCCTGTGTTCTGCATATATTGGGAGGTATAGGTAG